AGAAGCTGAAAATATAAGGAAAAATATGACTTACTTGTCCTTGTTCTTGAAAAGGGAATATTTAAAGGCTGACTAAGTGGGCCAGCGGATGGCATGGTGGTTAAGGGACTGGACTCCTGCATGACCTACCATGGCACAAATCCCAGACCAAGAGGCTTGAAAGTCATGCTGTCTGAGCATGCATGCCCAAAATCCCAAGAGGAGGATGATGAAGGAGATGAGATTACAGTGTGGCCATCCCCCATGGGAGGGTGATTTCTCACTTTTCCTCTTTGTGTCTGTCTCTATTTTTCTCCAGTGAGCATACGTGTCCTATGGTAAAAACCTTTAAATAATAATTAGCTAAGCTACAGTAAGTCCTGTAGACTTGTTCTTCTATGGGTTTGCTCTGTTGGTGCTATGTGTATACTTGCTTCTCATACTGGCGTATGAATCCTTTTAAGGATTCATTTTAATTCATTCATTGATCCTGCTTTTGTGCTAAGGATCAACATGGCTTATCTGGGAGATCATTTTCAGGAGGAAGGAAATATCTTCAAACCTGGGTTTCTCAATCTTGGCACTATTGGCATTTTGAGTCAGATAATTCTTTTTCTTTTTCCAATTTGCCAAAGGGCATGTGTGCTTGTTAGAGAAAGAGAAACAGACACAGAGAGAGTGAGAAAGCACTGTCCTTGGGGGATGGTCATGCCGTAATCCCAGGCACACATTCAAATGTACCTGGCATGTTTTACAAGCTACTGGGTCTGGGACTTGAACCACATAGTCAGCCATGTGAGATCCAGCTCATGTAACTACCAGGCCATGCGCTAGCCCCCAAATCCTCATTTTCAGTTACTCAGAGATACACATTAAACTTTAACTATTGATATGTTCACCTCATTGTATTGTATAGCACTATACATTGTTTCTCTCGTCTATCTGTAATTTTGTTTCTGTTAATCAACAGCTCTATCCCCCCCTTCCCATGAAAAATTATTTATTTAATTTATTATTATTTTTATTTAAATTTGCTATAGGGCACATGTGCTGAGAGAGTGAGGACTACAGGACTTGGCTGTAGTAGGCTATGTGAGAATCTGGCACCTCAACCATCATGCCACCTGCTGGCCTCCTTCCTCTAATTTTTCAATGTTTCTAGTAGGCATTTCTTCAAAAGAAATGCCAGCCTCTTCCCCCCGCTAAAAAAAAAATGCCAACCGGTATGTGTGTATACAAGAGAAAGGAGGGTCAGAGCAACCACATCAATTGTACATATTTAAAGTGTCTGATTAACTTGTTTTTGTCATATTTATATTGGGTCATCAGAAAGGTCATAATGCATTTTTGTATAAAATAACACATCATGACTTTTCCAACAACCCAGTAATATATTCCTGTGGAACAACATAATCAAGATGACGAACACATCCAAAAGTTTCTTTTTCCCTTTATAATATATTCCTCCCACTCATTCATGTTGCCCAACTCCATGATCCCAGAGAACCACTGATTTGCTTTCGATCACAAGAGGTTTGTTTGCATTTTTCAGAAATGTTATATAAATTATGTCAGACAGTATGTATTCTTTTTCCGTCTGGCTTCTTCTATTCAGTATTATTATTTTCAGATTCATCTATTTTGTATTTTTCAATTATCCATTGTTATAGGTACTAGATTTTATTTATGAATTTTTAGTTGAAGTTACTTATTTTCCTTAAAATTTATTTATTTATTTATTTATTTATTTATTTATTAGTAGGTTACAGTGGTAATAACGCAACTGAATCCACATGGAAAAGTCCCATATCCTGGAGCTTCTTTGTACAAGCCGGGATCACGTGCCAGTGATCCAGGATGGTTGAGACTGGGGGGGACTGTGGTGTGAATAGTCTAGTGGGATGCCTGTTTCTCCCCCCTTCCTGTCTCCTCTGATACCAGAGCTGGGTGGAGATGAAGGCATAATCTCTTAAAATATGGACCATCGTTGCCAGATTTCGGGGTTCTTTAAAGTTCCTATTACCAGGTCTGACAACCACAGCTCAGGAAAAAGGTACAGTCATCCCTTTTAACATAGAATAAACTTGAGAAGATGTTTAAGGGACCAGTGGTGCCACCCCTGGAGGCAGCCTTTCAATTGTTGCCACGGTAGGAGCACCACCCCATGGTGGGGTCCACATTTCTTTTTCTTTCTTTTCTTTTTTTTTTTTTTTTTTTAAGAGATATTTTTGGTATAGGGTGTGTGCACTTGCTGGAGAGACAGAGAGACAGAAAGCAAGAAATCACCCCCCGGAGAGGAAGGCCATTCCACAATCCCTTCTCCTACATTCTTCTCTTGGTACTTTGCGTGCGCACCTGGCATGAGTTTCAAGCTGCTGGGTCTGGGACTCGAACCGCAGTTGGCTAGGTGGGAGTCCAGCGACATAACCATTAGGCAATCTGCTGGTCTAGTTCCATTCTTTTTGCTCAGGATCGCTTTGATTATTTGGGTTCCTTTTGTGATTCTACACAAATTTCATAATTGATTATTTCTATGAAGAACATCATTGGTATTTTGATATATTGCTAGCACATTAAATCTGTAGATTGCTTTTGGCAGTATACGATTTTTTTTATCTTATAGGTTTTTGTCTTAGGATGTGTGCACTCATGAGAGAGAGAGAGAGAGAGAGAGAGAGAGAGAGAGAGACAGTGAGAGGGAAAATGAGAAATCACCCCACAGGGGGGATGACTCTGAGATCTTGGATATGCATATACACACACCTGACATGATCTTCAAGCCACCAGGTTTGGGACTTGATCTCTGGTTAGCTATGTGGGAGTCCATTGACAGAACTACTACTGGCTCCAGTAGTATATTCATTTTAACAGTATCAATTCTTCTAATCCATGAACATGGAATGTCTTTCCATTTTGTGTGTTGTATTCAATTTCTTTCATCACTGGCTTAAAATTTTTATTATAAAGATCCTTTAACTCTTTGGTTAATTTTTTTTAAAATTTCCTTTTCAGCTATTTCATTATTGTGTGAAAGTATTACTGAATTTCGTATGTTGTTTTTGTATTCTGCAACTTTATTGAATTCATTTATCAGATATAAGAAGCTTTTTTGTTTTCTCTACATAAGATCATATCTGTAAACGGACAGTTTGGCCTCTTTCTTTGCAATTTGTGTACCCTTTATTTCTTTTTCTTGACCAATTTCTCTGGCTACAACTTCCTTACCCATCCTTTTCCTACTTCATCCATCTTTCTTTCTTTCTTTCTTTCTTTCTTTCTTTCTTTCTTTCTTTCTTTCTTTCTTTCTTTCTTTCTTTCTTTCCTTCCTTCCTTCCTTCCTTCCTTCCTTCCTTCCTTCCTTCCTTCCTTCTTTCTCTCTTTTTCTTTCTTTTTAGAGGTTTTTGCCTTAGGGCACGTGTGCTCCTGAGAGAGAAAGAGAGAGAGAGAGACAGACAGACAGACAGACAGTGAGAGGGAAAGCAAGAAATCATCCTCTGAGGGGATGACCGCACTGCAATCCCTTTTCCTCCATTCTCCTCTTGGGGTCTTGGCAATACACATACATGCACTTGGCATGAGTTTCAACACCCACCTAGCCATGTGGGAGTGTTGAGACATAACCACTACGCCATCTGCTGGTACCCCTACTTTATCTTTCATCTCCCTTTTGAGAGGAAGTCCCTTTTTTAGGTTTATGTTATTTGATTCATATTGTAGCTTGGGTCTTATTTATTTGGTGCCATTCTAGTACATTTATTTCTTTATTGCCAGAGGGTGTATGCACGCTTTAGGGGTATGGTCTTGCTACAGTCCTCTTTCTTCTATTTCCTCATTTCATTAGGATTTTAGGCATGCACATGCCAATGCGTTTTTTTTTTCTTTTTCTTTTTTCTTTTTATGGAGGGGGGAAAGGTTTCTGCTATAGGGTGCGTGTGCTTGCCAGAAAGACAGAGAGAAGAAAGCGAGAAATCATCCCCTGGGGGGATGGCTACGCTGCAATCCCTTCTCCATTCTCCTCTTGGGATCTTGGGCACGCATGTACACATGTCCGGCGTGGGTTTAAGCCACCAAGTCTGGGAGACTCACACCGCAGTTGACTACATGGGAGTCCAGCAACATAGCCATTACGCCAACTGCTGGTCTCACCAGTGTGTTTCTCAAGCTGTTGGGGCTGGGATTCGAACCACAGTTGACCATGTGAGAGCCAGTTCCTATGTACAGCCTTAACTGCAGCACTATGAGGCCAGCCTTCTAGCCTATTTAAAGCTTACCTTGCTACCTTCTTAGAATTCTGTGTGGCCATTTAATCCTGTGGTGGCTTTATCTTGTTGTAATGCTTTCAAATGCTTTCTCCTGCCTTTAATTTAGTATGTATCAAGAATTATGAATTATTTTAATATCTAACTATTCATGGTAAATTGGCTGTTTCTGCATTGTGCAGTATGGTAGTCACTAGCCACAACTGGCTATTTAAATTTTAATTAATTAAAATTAGATACGATTCAAGTTTAGTTTCTTGTTTGCACTAGCTGCATTTCAGGTGCTCAGTAACTGTATGTGACAGTGGTGACCGTATTGGACAAGGCAGATAGAGAACATTTCCTTCATTGCAGAAAGCTCTGTTAGTGTTGGTTATACCATAAATTGGGATCAGCAATTGGCATAATGGCTATGTCACTGGACTCCCATGTGACTTTTGAAGCCACTGGGTCTGGAACTCAAACCATGGTCTGCCATGTGGATGTCTAGTGATGAACCCACTATGCCATTTGCTGGCCCCAGTATTGTGGTATTTTTGATGATCCAGTTTAGTGGTCTTCCCGTCCAGGCGGTGATTCAGAATCAGTGGATGACTATGAATGAGAAGGTTGGGTACTTGGAAAGTATAACTAGGTAAAGCATTTTTTGACATTTGGGTGTATTTTGTGGTATGACTTTTTTCTTTGTAGGAAACTCAGTGATTGTATGTCCTGTGTTGTCTGTGTGCTTTGAGATGATTCGTCTGTACTCTCCCTTTCTAGGTGCTAAGAGATGGCTCTCATGGGTCTCCTCTCTGCCTGAGAATTGGGTGCTAAGGGCACTGGACGAACCAACACCGACGCTGGGTTCCTTGCTTGAATGAGCCTTCATTTTCAGCCACTCCAGTCCAGCTGCTGCGTGGAACTACTCATTTTCTCTTGATGATGGGGATTGGCAAGAACACTACGTCCAAATCAATGGAGGCTGGAAGTTCAACAGAAGGCAAATATGAAGATGAAGCCAAGCACCCCGCCTTCTTTACTCTTCCGGTAAGAGCGTTTACTGTTTTCCTTTCTTCTGAAACCACGCTAACGCTTCTGAATGGGATCAGCATGCAATATGCCTTCATGCTTAACCTTTTCAGTGATGGGGAAGATCCTTGAAAGCCAAATGCTTTTCCTGTCAGTTTTTGGACTGCTTCTTGGGATATAGCCCTGCTCTTAGCCTGGACTCCCTTGCTGGGATTAATTTCAGGAAGGAAGCACACATTGCCATTCACGTGTTAGACCTAGCTCCGTCCTTACTGTTCACTAGAGGATATTGAAGGCTTAATTTTATCACTAAAAATATGCTCTTATGAAATAACATGAAACCCATTTTCATACTCTGATTGCAAGGTGGGATGGTGAACAACTTATTGTTTCAAACCCAAATGTCCATGCTTGGTGTTATGGTGGCGGCTCCCAGGTAATAGAGCTTTATGTGCAGAGGTGTTATCAGTCCAATAAGGCTGACTGTGCACAGTCAGAATCGTCAGGACTAAAATTTTTCCCAGTGGAGAATGATAATTTTGACGTATATAAAGTTACCTACAAAGTGTTGGCTTAAAAAAGGTCTCTAGAGAGTTTTGGACTCTATTTCTTTCTTCTTTACAATAGAAATATAGTTAATGGCAAAAATATTCTAGGATTATTTTTCCCACCCTAGCTTTTGCCATAGGGTGCATACACTTGACAGAAAGAGGGAAAATGAGAAATCATTTCCGGGGGGAATGACCCTGCTGCAGTCCATTCTCTTCTCAGGATTTTGGACATGTATGCACATGTGCCAGTGTGAGTTTTAAGCCGCCAGGTCCAGGACTTGAGCCGTGGTTGGCTATGTAGGAGTCCAGCGCCTCAACCACCACGCCACCTGTTGGCCCCTATTCTAGGATTCTTTAAAACAAGGTTCTGGAATTTGCGTCACTGTGGTGTTATTCCATAAGAAAGACATGAGCATGACATCATAAGTAGATTGGTTTACTACTTTTATTTATATCCAGTAGATTTTACAACTAGCATTACTGTTTTTTTTTTTTTTTTCCCACAAAGCAAAATTTTAAAACTGAATTTTTTGTAATGTTGAAGACTTAAGAGTTGACACAGGTTTCTAGGGAAGGAGACAGTATAGCTTATTCACTACCTAGTTGTTCAAGTTTAAATTAGATCAGTGTTGGAAAGTGAAAAAGAAAGTTTCCTACGTGGGTAGCGACAGTCTCTACCATGACCTGTTTGGCCTTTAGAGCTCAGCAGAATTCACTTTAGGCCCAAGAATTGTTGAGCGTATCTTAACCACCAGCTGCCTTGTCGTTATGGTCCAGCATTTTAGATTTATTTACTTTAGCAGTAAAATTGTGGTATTTTACAGTTAGCACTTAAATTTACCGGTGTACGTTACCAGTTTTCGTATTTCCGGTTGTATCTTGCTTCGTTCCGTTTAAAAAAAAATACTGAGGGTCTGTAGATATGGTCAGTCTTAGTCTTTGTACATCAGTAAATAATTATAGCTTGCTCTCACCTCTTTAGTTTTATTACTTCCATGAGGAAGAGAGAGAGAGAGACAGACAGGCAGACAGAGAGCTTGGCAGCCCCTAGCAGGGCCTTGACACTATGGTCCGCACTCAGCCTCAGCCAGCCTGAATCATGGACATGCACACACACGCTGCCTGTACAGGGAGGCCTCGGGACATGAACCTCGGATCTTCGCATGTGGATCCAGCAGCATGGAGTGTTGCATAACTGCTGTGCCACTAGCTGGCCCCTGCTCTCAACTCTTTAATGAACTTTGAAGTAGAAGCTTGAGCTTCCCACACCATCTCCATTTCCCTCTAAGTGCTTTCTTATGATTTGGATTTCTTTACTCGGCGCCAACTTCTGGATGAATTCCCTTGTGTTTTCCAGTTTACTAATTCTTGTGTACCTCTTGTGTGTCTCTGTTGAATTTTTATTGCAATGATTATACTTACTTCTAAAATTACTGTTCGGCTCATTCCTATCTACTTTTGGTTCTTAATTTCTTGTATGTAGGCGTTTGTTTTTAAAACTTTTTTTTCCCATTTAAATATCGAGAACCCTAATGTATTTATTTTAAAGTCTCTCTCCAGTTGTTCTCTTTTTACCTGGAGTCTGTATGGATTTTCTTCTCTCTCTGTGCTCTGGTGGTTTTCCATTTTCCTGTCCTGGATTTGGTCTGGAAGCAGGTCTTACTGTGTCAGCATGTCACTGAGAGTCACTGTACAGGCTCTGTACGTGGTTGCTGAGCCCTTGGAGAGGGGAGGGCTGCCAGGCAGAGCTGGCAAAGGAAGAGAGGGCTGAGGGCCTCACTGTTGGATTGGCCAAGGCAGCTGATCATAGGATCATGACAGGCCTTCACTGCCTGCTACTGGGGCCTTATTTTATCCTGGCCTTTGAAATCATATTAGTGAAGAGTAATAGCACAGTAGCCCTGTGCTGTTTACACACCAGCTCTTAACCTCGTGTGGCTATTTAAATTAAGTACACTCTAAGATTCAGTTCCTCAGTTGCATCAGTCAAGAGCTTGGTAGCCACCTGTTGGCTGGTGGTTAGCCCATCTGTTTGCCCATCTATAGTTCAGGGCCTTGCAAGACCCTGAAATGCAGGCTCTTATTTCCGTGTTTGATTTGGATTCCAAAGCTGGGCCTCATGCCAGCAGCTGTTAAGATATCTAGATTCAGGTATGCTTGAGTGCAGGGACATCAGGAACCTTGAATATCAGAACAGAACCTGGCTGCTCCTCAGACCCAGGCTGGAGTGTGTAGAAATGTGTTACTGGGGACACAGGTGTCAAGGATCTCCTCCTGAGCTAGTCTCGTAGGCATCCTGTGGTAGATAAGTGCTTCCTAAATAAACGCTGACTTTAAAGTCATATGGGAGGGGCAGTTAGCGTAATGGCTATGTCGTTGGACTCCCACGTAGTCGACCGCGGTTCGCATCCCGGACCCGGTGGCTTAAAACTCACGCCGGGCGTGTGTGCGTGCGTGCCCAAGATCCCGAGAGGAGAATGGAGGAGAAGGGATTGCGGCGTGGCCATTCCCCTGGGGGTGATTTCTCACTTTCTATCTCTCTGTTTCTGTCTGGCGAGCCCACGCGCCCTATAGCAAAAACCTCTCAAAAAAAAAAAAAAGTCACATGGGAGGGACTCAAGAGTTTGTTCCAGCAAAATAAAACAAGCACCCAGAATAATTTTAAAAGAATAAATTCTTACATACAAGAATGATAACCATGTCTCAGTAAGAACAAAAGGCATGCAGACCCCAGGATTCATGGAAATTTAGCCATATGACCAGAGTTGGTGTGAAACAGGGAGAACATAGCAAAAGATCTTCTTATCCCACAGGAATCTCGATATGCCAATTTGCATGTCTTTAAAGGCAGTTAGGAAGTGTGTAATAGGAGTGAATACAGCATAGTGAGAAACTGGAACCAGAAAAATGTAGCAAAGCATCTTGAAGAACTTCTGTACCCAGAGGACATTGACCTAAAAGCACAGCTGGGAAGTACGGCCAGGAAAAGGTCGTGTGTTTGCTCTGCTCTTCTCCTGTGTTGGTGGCTGTCCTATCAGCTGAACCTGGAAACCAGCCTAGCAGCCTCAGCTCCCTCTTGGCACAGTCCATCTGCCACAGTCTGTCATTCAAACCTCTCATCCTTCAGAGTTTAAGGTTAGTGTTTAAGTTCCTTACGCTTTTGTTTCTACTGCTACTTTAGCAGCCTCTCTGAGGATATTTTGAGTCTCTTTTGGATGGCAGGAGCTGATCATTCTGTCTGGAGATGTAAAGGGTGGACGAGGAGTAGCTTAATTAGTTTCATTTTATCAGAGAATGGGAGAAATACTCATGTGTGTGCATAGAAATGTGTAACTTGTCTCAGCTTCCCCTGTCGTGTATTCTCCAGAACCATATGAGATGAAGAATCCACAGGCATGTACTCTTGCATTGATTAAATATGTACATGGCCGTCACGTGGTCAGCACCGCGCAGACCTGGGAACAGGCCTCATTCAGTCTTGCGGGGGAGATATGAAGGTCTCGAATTCAGTACAGAGTGCTGTGGGAGTGTCCTGGCAAGACCCTTGCATAGCTGTGTTGCTGGGTGAACCGAGCCAATCAGATCAAGTCTCCCAGGGGAGGTGACATCAAAGTCCTGAGAAAATCTCTAGGTGGAGCAGGTCCAGAAGAGGGTGGCCAAGTGCCTTTCAGCAGGGGCCCAGGATGGCCATGTCCTGCTCTGGACACAGATTTGCTATAAGCAGAATACAAGGCAGAGGGAATGGTGAGGCAAGGTTGTAGCCAGTTTGGGGTAGAGAATTCCTGGCGGGGGTCGGGGATGCTATGCTGATGGGCTGGATGAAGCAGGAGCAAGAGAGGGACAAGGGATGTCTTCAGGCATTTTCTCTGAGCCCCTAGAAGGGTGGATTGGCCAAATCCTGAGGTGGAGGAAAACTTTGATTGAGAGAGGATGTGTATCTGTGTCTGGGGGGGCGGGTGGAGACCTGCAATTTTAGGGGTAGAAAATTGGCTTTGAGTCTCTAGTGTTCTGGGACGGATGTGTGGCTGGAACTCTTCACTGGAAGTGGTATTTAAAGCCAGGCATCTGGACTGCATCACCAGAGGTAGATGTTGCTAAGAAAGAAAAGGGTCTGGAGGCTCAGGAAGACCCCCAGAAAGGAGAGGTAAGGAGTGGTTGGTGAGGTTGAGGGGAACCAGGAGAGCTCTGTCCTGGAAGCCAGTGAAGAAGCATGAGAGTGAGCCAGATGAGGAATGAGGAACTGTTGGCTAGCCAGGGTTGGGCCTTGGCCTCACCAACGGGGAGAGTGGAGTTGTGGGTTTGTGGAAGAGCAGTGGTAATGCGAGCGATGGACCCCAGGTAGGGTAAGGAAGGACGAGATTGATGCAGGGGTTCGGGACAATGAAAGGCATTGGGGTTGAAAGTTTAGCAGGCCTTGCGGGCTGGAGAAACTGTGGGAATTGGGCTCCTTGAGGCATCAAGGAAGAA